ACTCCCGAGTTGAAAGTGCGGGACAAAATGTGGGACACACACACAAACACACAGACAACCCCGTGACGATATGCGTTTTGTAACGCTGTTACACAGCACAAAATGCATAAAAACGAACACGAATACTTACAGACACAGGCATACATACATACAAGCAAACATAATCAAACGAAAATGAACATACACACACGTACAAATGTAAATGGCAATTACATTCCCATTTCTTTTGAAACTATTATCCAATGATCATTGCAGATTTATCTTAACCCCCACCCTCCCTAGCGTTATATGGCGGGTTTTCCGCTTGCTTTTCTTGCTTTTATTTTCTTTATTGCTTGTACTTTTTTCTTTCTTTTATTGTCTTTCTTAATGGTACTTTCCTTACTTTTATTTCCTTTCTTGCCGGTACTTTTTCCTTGTTTTCCTCCTTTCAATCCATCACCCTTCTTCCTCTCCCTTAAGTGGCCTAGGCAACTGCCAAAGGATCTGCATCACGTAGCTATTCAGTGTATTCACCCGGCCCGTCCCCCCTGCTTCGAGTCTTTGCGCGTGAAACCCGCACATACCATCCCCCTTCCCTCACTATCGCAACCCCTTCCCGGCGTCTCGAATGCAGCACCCAAAAGTGTGCTCATGCATTGTCAGTCCTGTTCCCCCCCCCCTTCTACACTCTCTGTAGTATATCCCCTTCCCCAGCACTTTCCATACCGCCGCGCATTTGCGGCAAAATCAGAACACGGATCCTTCTCCCATCCGCCCATCACCCCTCCCCCCTACGTGGCCACGCCACGTTCCCACCCAACTCATCCCAGCACCCCTTCCCCAATGCCTCCGACCAGCGGTCACCATTCTCACGCAGCAGCCTCCCTGCCCCACCCTATCCTGTACCTTACCCCACCCTCGCTCCCCCCTTTCCCCGCTTCCCCCATCCCCTTTTTCCCATCCGTCCCCACTGCCCTTGCCTCCCCCGCCCCGTCTTCTCGTCCTGCTCCCCCACTACACGCTTGGCGACAAACCGACAACTCGTGCCGCTGCCAGGGTCGGCCGAGGTGCAACCAAGGCGAGTCGAGGAGAGTCGAGGCGGTCGAGGTCAAGCTGTGGCGGCCGAGGTGAGCCGAGGTGTAGCCGAGGTAGCCGAGGCCGGCCGAGGGCTAGCCGAGCCAAGCTTTAGAAATTGCTCAGTGGGGAGATGGGAAGGTGCAGCAGTGGGGGGATGGGATGGTGGAGCAATGGGGGAATGGGATGGTGAAGCAGTGGGGGGTGAAGTGAACGAATCAAATTTCGCTCCCGACCAAACCCCTAAATCTTTGTCCCGATCAAAAAAAAAGTGACAGTTTTTTGATATCAAAGTATCAAAAAACTGGACAAAACAGCAAAATTGACAGACACTGCAGATGGAAGATAATTGTGCGTAGATTCAAGAAGAGCAGCGGATTAGAAAAAAAAAAGGATTACAGTAGTAACAAGTGAAGAAGTAGCAATAATTATTGAAAAACAATTACAAAGCTGCAAGCTGAATCTGTCTAAGCACAACGAAAAGCTGCCCCATTTCTCTTTGTCTGCATTTTTCAAAAAGTGAATCTCTCCATTTTTGCTGGTCACTATTTAACGATATTCTAAGCATTGTGCAAAGATTTTTCAATTTTTCTACCAGGAAATTCAAGTTTCTGAACCTTCCTCTTTTTACTCTTAGTAATCATTTCGAATTTGCAACTAGACCTTCCTGTTTTCCATGATTTACAAATTCAGCTTGTAGTAACTTTTTTATTTCTTCTTTTTTTATATTTTCTCTTTGTTTTTTCTTTTTTAATTTTCTTTTTACAATCAAATGCCCAACAATCTACCAGCAATAGACAAAAAACAGCAGATTTGCTTGGATGCCTTTTCAATTTTCGCTCCCTTTCTTTCACAATCTCACTCCCATACTTTTTGATCAAAAAAAGGAAGAAATTTCAACCGAAAAAATCCAAGGAGGCTCCTGTATTTTGCCAGAATCTTTACAGCTCTGCGAAA